TGATTCTAATCTGTTAGGATGTTTGGCTATTCATGCAGCCACATAGGTCAGAGAGGCCAGTGAACATGGAAAATCTCCCTGTCAACAATAACAGTGGTCAGTCATATGGTTATACACTGTATGAAACCACCATCACCAGTGGAGGAGCCCTGAACTCCAGGAACAGCATCAGAGACAGAGCGCTGGTGAGAGTGACCACAGATAGAAACATACATGCACATTACAGTTTCAGTGCATGGTTCTGAGGTTATACAACATAAAGTATTTAATCCTGTCATTGTGACTGTATTATTCCATAGGTGTTTGTAGACAGACAATGTGTTGGTAGTTTGGACTACAAGACTCAGGAGCTTGCACTCCCTGATGGCAAGGTACCGATTTTGTTGGTTTGATTGTGAAATATAGCTGTATAATGTTGTCATCCCTGCAGTATTTGCCTTTTAGCTCTGTGAACACAAACATTTTTAAAACTAAACAGATTTAAGAGTAAGAGTAAACACCAAAGTACACAAACTCATATGTCTAAATCATGCCACTGACATATTTTTTTCTTAATTAATTCAAAATAAGTAGATTTGATCATTTGTTCATTACACAGTAGCAGAAATGGTATCAGAATCATGAATATACAGCGCCCTCCATAATTATTGGGTTAAGATGTGTTAAAAGCCTTAAAATAAATTACATTTTTATTGCAGAAGCATACTCTCACACTGAAAATTGTAGAAAAATGTAACCTTCAACTCAACTCAAATGAATTGTTGACAAAAGGGGGTTGTACAAAGTATTAACATAAAGGGTGCTAATAATTGTGGCACACATGATTTGATGTAAAAGAATTATTTTTTAATGTGGGAATTTTTTCACACTGAATAAATGCACTTGAATTAAAGGTTGAATTTTCCTCCTTTTTTTCATTGTGGTCCTATATTATTTAGAAAAAAATTGAATTTACTAGAAGCTGAAGAACACATCTTAACCAGGGGTGTCAATCAGTATGGAGGGCGCTGTAAATCTACAAGGGAATTCTATGATGCATTTCCTCCTATAAACCAATTGACTGCTTTGTAACATACCGATAAGCATTCAGCTAATTGTGTTGCACTAATTCATGTGCCGTGTTGTGAAACTGTGCACATGAGCAGTAGCAGTCTAACCTGTAAGAAAAATTGCTTTTTAAACCTTATTTTTGGACAAACTCACCAAACTTATTAAGCATTTCTTTGACTGGTGATTCTAAACATTTTTTACTGCTTATTCATTTAGATATGAGAAGACAGAGTGGCAAGGGTTTCCTATAAGGAGCTGAGAAGTAGTTAACAAACAATCATCCATTTTTGCAGAGGAAGCCAGAGTAGTTTTTTAGATTTAGAGGAACACTAACACAACAAAATGGGAGACTGGGAAGCTGTATACATTACAAGCGAACCCTCTCAGTGCTTTGTTGTTCATATGTTTAATGTGGTATATTCAATCAAGCAGTGAAATAGCATTCTTTACTGAATAATTTTCGAAGTAATACTTCTGTTTTGTGCATCAAAGGGAGAGAGAACACTGAGCTTGCTTGTGGAGAACTGTGGAAGAGTGAATTATGGGAAAGCTCTGGATGAACAGTGCAAAGGTATTCTGCCTCCATGTATTGTGCCATGTGCTATGCCATATGTTGGTCTATTACTTTTACATTTTTTCAGTCATCTGAGTCTATGGCACCTAATATCCATTTTAACATTGTTCAAGCAGAGAAAGTATCATACGAGTTCATTTTATTTCGCTTGGGCAGTGAAAAATACTGTTCCACTCACTCAAACAACACTGTACTTTTTTATGTTTTGTTGTCCTAAACATCCATGAATTACCCATTGTGTGTAGGATGGAGTGCAATGCAAAGAATTTGTCTGTGAACATTGTTCGTCTACAGTGCATATTTTCCCTCATTATATATTACAGGTATTGTGGGAGACATTGTGTTGAATCAGACTCCTCTGAGAGGATTTACCATCTTCTGTTTAGATATGAAGCCAAGCTTTATGAAAAGGTTTGTTATTGGAATTTAATTTTACATCTTGGCAAAAGCTAACAAATCTAGCCTTGGAGATCTGTTCATGGACATCAATGGAACTTTTTTCTTTGTAAGTTAAAGGGAAGAGTCACTGTAAAATAGCTGAATTCTGCTTAGAAATTGATATGCAGCACACAGTATATTTGTTTTTTAGCTGTGACTATAGCTAGCATGGGGATAGATACATTTATACAAATACCATTTCCTACGTCATATTGGTGAAAAGCAGTCAGGGTGAACTGAAATGACACATTGTGTTTTAAATAAATGTTGATGTTGTTCTAGATTAACAAATTCCGGTCAGTGGAAAACTGACTTCAAGTCACCCACTGTCCCTGGATTTCTCCAGGCCAGACTCAGTGTGGATGGTCCACCCAAAGACACCTTCATCCGACTCCCTGTGAGTGTAAAAGCTTTTGTGGTAAACTGTGTAGGGCTTGAAAAACGTTTTTAAATTTAAAATTCATTTTTTCATTTTTTCCTAAGACAATACTCCTACATCCTTGTCTAATAAGAATATAGTACAAAATGGACTTCATTGGTTTTTAGTTTTTAAGAATCTAGAGCTGCAATTGACATTTAGATCTGGAAGCACTGAAAATTTCTGAGTGCTTGAAGGGCATTTCGTCGAAGCTTTGCTCTACGTTGGTGTTATTTTGTTAGTTGGTATTTTAAACAGACATTCCACAGTGTCACTTTCATGATCATAAAACTCCAATCATCCACAGGGTTGGGGTAAAGGAGTTGCATTTGTCAATGGGCAGAACCTTGGACGTTATTGGTTCATTGGTCCCCAGCATTTCCTTTATCTCCCAGGACCTTGGCTCAGAAGTGGAGAGAACCAGGTAGTATGAACGGTGGCATGTGGCTGTTTTGGATGATAGCTGAGCAGAGATAAATCTGATGTGTTCTTCTTGGTATGTTTTATACATTGTAAATCAAATTGTAAAGTTCATTCAGCTTAGAAACGGGGGTCCCACACTGAATGGACTGTTGTGTAAAAATGTGAGTTAACTGCACTCTGGTTAATTAATTACCTCAAAGTCAGTTGTGAAATAGTAATACTAGCCAAACAAACCCAATAAACTTTATTTCTTAGAAACTTAATTTAATCAATTGAGTGAACTCTCAGTCGTTCATTTATACAACTCATCATTTTAAGGTTGAAAATGCCTCACATCACAAGAAAGATGAGTCGATTTGAATTAATTAATTTACAGTGTTTTACAGAGTAAATGATTTTTTTCTACGTTGTGTATGTATAACATATTTCGTGTTTTTCTGCTCTCTTTTAGATCATTGTTTTTGAGGAACAAAGATCGGATGACAAAATACTGTTTACTGAAAATCCTGATCACGGAAAGACTATTGATGTTTACAAACTTCCTTTTTGTACACTGCTTTGAAAAAAGTGTAACACAACCACACACACACATATTAAAATACAGTTTATTGATACTAACGGTCACTGTAAACACATTAAAACATACATTGTACTAACTATAGCATTTTTCAAATGCTGCACACAACTGTATGAATAGTTCTTTAATTCAAATGTTTATCAATCTTTTATTGCTATTGATTCAATTTCCTTATGTCTTTCACGTGTAAATACAGTTTCACGACCCAACACAATTCATTGTTCAGATTCCTGTTGTTCTTTTATTTCAGCTTGAACTTTGCTCTCGTTACAAATGACTCAGTTTGAACCTTTGACAGCGTTTAACACCTTCTAAGCTTCTGATTGGACGAGGCTTGTCCTTCACTTAAAGAAGCCTCTCATATTTACAAAGGACACCCAACCACACAATACATGATCATGTCAATTTGTCAATTCATTACAGACACAACCTTGTAACCACAAGAGAAGCTTCTCGTTTCAAAATAAAGGCAAAATGTTCACAAAATCTCTGAGACCCAGAATGTTGCAAGTACTAAAGATGTAACAGTCAGTTTTTATTGTCTATATGAACATGGGTTATTCCATCTAAAATCAACCAAATATATATGAAAAAAAAGTTCCTACCTGAGCAACTCAGAGTCAGCAAATATTTGTCTTTTTTTGTAAAATAACAACATTGTAAAAATGAAAAAAAAAAATTACTTCATCCTACTTTAAATATTTAGGCCCTTAAGGTACACAGAGCTTGATCAAAATCCTACAGCCAAAATCATGTTTTAGTTCAGCACAATTTATTCTATGACCAACTTTGAACACAAATATATGGGATACGTCATAGTTTAAGTTACAATTTCACGTAAGCATTTCAGGTAGAACACATTGATAGATTTTTCATGGAATGACCATACATAAAAACAGGTGTGCGTAGTGTATGTACATTGTAAAACATAAACTTAAAAAAAAATAAAAAATGATTGTTCTGTTATGCTAAAGCATGAAAATAAAATATAATCTTACCAACTGTATTCAAATCAGGATTATTTTTACACATTTCCTCTGTTTGATTAAATTCATAATTAAAAACATCTATAAAAACATTCAAAAAAAAGGTATTAATTTACATACTGGTAAAAAAAACAAAACAAAGCAAAAAAAAAGAGTCAAAACTGATTAATGCTTAATGTTCACACTAAAAATCAGCATTTAATAATTCTTTGTTTTTGTTTGTTTTTGTTTTTTTTTGTTTTACAATACATGGTCATAAATTTGCGGTGTTTTATTATTTAAATTAGCTAAAAATTCTTATTTTACAGATATTTGCTTTAAATTTAGAAGTTTTTGAACGCTGCAGGATTACACTATTTTAACGTATTTTTCTGTTTCTGTTTGTTTGTTTGTTTAAAGCTATATAAAGTGACGGTGTGCAAGTTATCGTCCGGCCTTTATTTTGAAAAAGAAATTCTGAAGTCTGGTGCATACTCTTGCTAACTTGACCTGTAAATATCATGGATATATCCGCTGGTGTTCCTGTTTCGGCGCAGCAGTTGCGGAAAGATCCCTGGGTCATTTCAGCCTGCAGAACAGTCGACTAAGTGTCCTTTATAGTCTTTATTCAGGAACGGTTTAATTTCTTAGTGGCTGTACTAGCAAAAAATACAGGTTTGAAATGGGTGTATAGCAGCTGTAGGAGCAGCTCCACAGTACCTTAGCCTAGCCTAAACCAGTGAGCTGCTGAACACGACGAGTTAAAGTAGGTTTTTATATTAAGTTTAGCCTTTTGTTTTCACAAATAAGGGTTAGCTTGCCGACATGGAGTCGTGTGGAGCCACTGTTCTCGGGTGCTCTGCGAGCATCGTGTTGGGTGGGCTTGTGTTTGCAGCCTACAAACTTGGCTTACTCTACCAGTTGTTTCACAAGGTAGGTGTCCACAAGTCAACCTTGTAGTTACAAAACAAAACTTTTGGGCTGTTCTGTTCCTTAGTCTTTATTCATTATCCTCCTCAGTATCCTTCATTGCACAGCTCAGTTAATACACCTGTATTGTGTGGCTGCTGAAGTCACCTGTACACCAGGCTGTCACAGGTGAAAGGTAAGCTGGGCTTCATTCACGTAACCTTTAACCAGACTTGTGGTCTAAAGGACAAAGCCTGTCAAGCAACACCCTGGCTGTTAGTGGGATTGCACAAAGCCCTGCGGCCACTACTGCAGGCCTAAACAATGTGTGGTTATTGTGAAATATGAAAGGCTGCTGTGGTGAGGAGATAGGTGCCAGGTGACCTGAGGAGGGCCATCAGCTCAAAGTGACAGCTGTTTATCTAAGACATATCTTTTGTTCCTAATTTACCAAATGTGTGAATAACATTTTCTCTGCACTAACTTTTATTCTGTTTGCTTGCTTGCTCCAGACTGAGACAAAGAGCCCACGGCATGGTGGCGAGAGTGTGGCAGAGGTTCTCCGAGCCCATGGGATCAAATATGTTTTCACCCTTGTCGGTGGGCACATCTCACCCATTTTGGTGGCTTGTGAGAAGGTGGGCATCCGTATTGTGGACACCCGGCATGAGGCCACCGCTGTCTTCGCTGCTGATGCTGTGGCAAGGCTCTCAGGTGCAGATATAAGTTACACAAATAGACATTCTTAATTCAGTGGTTATGGAGAATAATGTAAGGGTGTGTCTTCCTCCTAACAGACAGTCTGACCTATCAAAAAGGTGTAACTAACAACATCTATAACCACTGGCTTACATTCAGATACACTATTGTTTGGGTCCTGGTGTAATGAGCAGTCTAGTACATTAATATCTCTAGATAGAACTGTCTCTGTGTCTTGTATAGTGTTTTGGGGGGTAGATGATAGCTGCTATGCTTGTCTCTGCACCAGGCACTGTTGGTGTTGCAGCAGTGACTGCTGGCCCGGGCCTCACGAACACAGTGACTGCAGTGAAGAACGCTCAGATGGCTGAATCACCATTGCTGCTCTTGGGAGGAGCTGCTGGTACACTACTTCAGGTGGATTGTATTCAAATACTATTGCAAATACAATGTGAGTGTACATGTAGAATCAAAAAATAACGCAAAATGCTAGGAGTGGCTTGACTTGTAGTTAAATGAAGTGTATGGTAGTGTTTTAATTGGGTTACATGTGAACTGTTCTGAGTTTCAGTGTGTTTGTGGTGCAGGGCAGAGGGGCACTGCAAGATATCGACCAGATGTCTCTCTTCAAGCCACTTTGTAAGTTCTGTGCCTCCATCAGGACTGTCAGGGAGATCGTGCCTACGATCAGGAAGGCCCTGGCCATCGCTCAGTCAGGAACGCCTGGTCCTGTTTTCATAGAGTTCCCCATAGACACGCTTTACCCCTACCATCTGGTGTCCAAAGAGTTTGCTGTTAAAAACCCTCCCAAAGGCCTGATGGGAAAAGTTGTTGCATGGTATGTTATCAGCATGTCTTGGATACTGCATATAACTGGTTAGTTTATGCATAGTAAAAAAGAAAAAGAAAGAAAATTGTGAAAGGTCATGTTCATACACAATTACAATAAAGCTTATATTCATATATTCATGAACATTTATTTGATGTTATTTTCTGACTTCCTGTAAGGTACCTCAATAATCACCTCATGAACCTTTTTGCTGGAGCCTGGGAGAACAGAGACGTGTCTCCACTTCCTGTTCAAATCCCTCAAGCCAATGACGATCAGGTAAACCTGCTTTTATTTTTTGAGTTTGATATTACTTAAATGCTCTCGTGATGTGATGGCTTTTTTTTAGGTAAATGTCTTAATCAGATCATTCTGTCAGTGTGTACCGTATTGAGAAGCATGAACCAGTTAAAGTTTTGCTACTTTTTTTTTTCGTTACCAACCAGGTACAAAAGTGCATAGAGCTGGTGAGCCGAGCCAAGAAACCTGTTATTCTGCTGGGAAGCCAAGCAACATTACCTCCAACGCCAGTTGATGACATCAGGTAAAGGACAATGTGTGTTATCTTTACGATTTTAGTTCATTGTTGATAGTAGGAACGTTGTGGCTTAAAATCTGTTTTCAAATAGCATTAAAAGGTTATTTTGTAGTGTCATTTACACATATTGTCTGGTGAAAATGTTTCCTGCTTTATAGGAAGGCTTTGGAGGATCTGGGAATCCCCTGCTTTCTTGGGGGCATGTCTCGTGGCATGCTCGGTAGAGACAGCCCCATCCACATTCGGCAGAATAGACGGGATGCCCTGAAGGAGGCTGACTTGGTGCTCTTAGCAGGTCAGGCAAACAGTCCTAACAAAGCAATAACATACTTTTTCTAAACAAGTTATTTAATAATAGGACCCAAAAGAAAATTACAGAAGATACAGTGTTTTCCTCCGTGATGGCATAAGCAAATGACATTTGACTGCAGATTTTACTTTAACCTATTTATTGAATGGCCAGTTGAAAATGTTTTTTTGAAGGCTGAATGTAAAATAATAATTAATTAATTGATTAATTAAGTATTAAATCAATAAATAAACCAATAAAATTAAATAAATGAAAATCAAAACAATAATTAAAGCTGCAAGCAGCGTTTGTCGGGTCCTCGGTCCGCGCTGTGACCTCATACCCGTCTGAGGGCCGTTTAAGTGTCTTTCTTTTTTCATTTTATCCAATTTGCGTGCCAATTTTGGTGAGTTTTTGAGCGTGTTTAGGGGGTCAAATTAAGGGTTTTGCGTTGGTCAGGCAAATAAGAAGAAGAAGAAAGAAAGAAACGGCATCCTCGGACCCTAAATAATAATTTCTTGATGGAGCTGTAGAGGCAGTCACAAAGTTTTCACCTAGGCTCAGAACAAATTATTTTTCTGGGTTTTTTATTTTTATTTTTATTTTTTATAAAAGAGCTCCAAGGCTCTGCTGTAGGGAAATTCTCTGAGAGGTGGCTGCTGATGCTCAGCAGCATACATGCTGCGACCTGATCCCCTGCAGCCTGTTTCTCAAGTCAGTCTTCACCTACAAATAGAAACAATAATGAGATTGTTTCTCTCAATTTCCTACACCCGAATCATTTTAAAATTGTTTCTAGTTTTTGTCTGGTGATATATTATTAAATGTCTTTATATTGACATGTATATTATACAAAAGATAAGAAAGGAAAATGGTTCATGTACACTCCCCATTATCAGTGTGGGAGAGCCTTGAGTGGAACTGGCTATTTCTTTCAACCCATGTAGAGTCCCAGCCTGACAGCCTGAGCTCCCCTTTAGGTTCTTCTCCTCTACTCATCTCTCTCTCTCCTGCTCCTCCACTCAGCTCTTCCCCTGCTGTACTCTGCTCTCCTTCACTTTGTTCCACTGCTCCTCCCTGTCTAATGTTACTTGTCTTATACGATTACATAAAATATGAACATTAGATAATTTATACTCACAACACATCAGATTACAAGTGTGAACACTATTTTTTACCTAACCATCATCATTTATGAATCAGTTAGTTTACTCACGTTAGCGACACTGAATTGGCACTGTGCCCAATTAACTTAAGATATCGATGTGTTGCATAACATTAGCTGGCCATCAGTATTTTGCGAATGTCTGTTTAACTTGTCAAATCTGTTATGAGGTATCTTAAGCCAATAAGTCTATCTTTTCGCCAGTAAGTCACTGACCTATTCTCCAAGACGACCCTCCTCTAATTCTCTGGAGCCTATCACAGCTGATTTAGGGCGAAGGCAGGGGACACCCTGGACAGGTAACCAGTCTATCACAGGGCTACACTTAGAGACAGACAACCAAGCACACTCACATTCACAACTACGGACAATTTAGAATCACCAATTAACCTCAACATGTTTTTGGACGCGAGGTGGCGCAGTTGGTAGCACTGTTGCCTCGCAGCAAGAAGGTTGCTGGTTCGCGTCCCGATGGGGGCACCGGAATCTTTTTGCGTGGAGTTAGCATGTTCTCCCCGTGCAGCGTGGGTTCTCTCCGGGTTCTCCGGCTTCCTCCCACTCAGTCCAAAAACATCCATCCATCCATTATCTATACACCGCTTAATCCTCATTAGGGTTGCGGGGGGGCTGGAGTCTATCCCAGCTGACTTAGGGTGAAGGCAGGAGACACCCTGGACACGTCGCCAGTCTATCACAGGGCCACACTTAGAGACAGACAACCAAGCACACTCACACCCACACCCACGGACAATTTAGAATCATCAACCTCAACATGTTTTTGGACTGTGTGGGAGGAAGCCGGAGAACCCGGAGAGAACCCACGCTGCAGGAAGATTCCAGTGCCCCCACCGGGACGCGAACCGGCAACCTTCTTGCTGCGAGGCAACAGCGCTACCAACTGCGCCACCTTGCAGCCCCAGTCCAAAAACATGTTGAGGTTAATTGGTGATTCTAAATTGTCCGTAGGTGTGAATGTGAGTGTGCTTGGTTGTCTGTCTCCAAGTGTAGCCCTGTGATAGACTGGTGACCTGTCCAGGGTGTCCCCTGCCTTCACCCTGAGTTAGCTGGGATAGGCTCCAGTCCCCCGTGACGGATTAAGTGATGTATAGATAATGGATGGATGGATGTTTTTGCACTGTGGGAGGAAGCCAGAGAACCCAGAGAGAACCCACGCTGCACGGGGAGAAATGCAACCTCCACGCAGAAAGATCCCAGTGTCCTCACCGGGACGCAAACCAGCGACCTTCTTGCTGCGAGGCAGCGGTGCTAACCACTAAGTAAATGGTGGCCTGCCACTCCTAAATGAATGTAGAGGAAACACTGAGATAACTAGATGCCATAAGATATCAGGGTAAATAATTGACAAATAGGTATGTGCTATTGATATTTGTATTCATTCAGTATTTAGGCAAAGGAATGATAAATAAATATGCTTGCAGTATTGCTTGGCTGTAGGATGTCGGTTTGACAGCAAGATTATGCAAAAATTACCAAACCAAATTTCATAAAATTTGATACAGAAGTGGGGCATATGCAAAGAAAAAAAAACTTACATTTTGGTGTGGATTCAAATCCTTTCCTTAAAAACAGAAAGATACGGTATTGACTGCAGCTTTTTTGAAGGTTTCAATAAATAACTATTCCTGAAATAAAATGAACTAATGCTAAAAAGTTATCTATGTTTCTAAAATACAGTTAGATGTTAACCTGTATTTTCAAAGTAGTCAGTGTACCCACATGCGATCCAGAATTCCCAGAGACTGTTGACACCATTTGTTGTATTTGCAGGAACTGTGTGTGACTTCCGGCTGAGCTACGGCAGAGTTCTCAACAGACGCAGCAAGATCATCGCTGTCAACAGAGACAAGACCCAGCTGCTGAAAAACTCAGATATGTTCTGGAAACCAACTATAGCAATTCAGGGTATGTTTGCAACCTGCCTTCATCATCCAGGCTGATAAATAAAGTAGTAAGGTGATATTTTAGGTCATATGAATGATGACAAAGCCATTGTAAAAGAATGAAGAATATTCAGATTTTTATATTTGTTTGTTATCACAGAGTACACAATATCTGATATGTATTGTTTACACATTGTGACTTTAAATGTACATTTTTTGCTATTGATTTGTTCTGTTTAGGCTTGCACTTGTTGCAACAAATATATACAATAAAGTTGGGAATGTAAATATATTGTATATTTCAGGTGACGCTGGTTCGTTTTTAGTGCGGCTTTCCAAAGGGCTAAAGGGCCATCGTTGTCCAGAGGAATGGCCTCAGAGCCTCAAAGCTGGAGATATGACCAAAGAAAATGCAAACAGGTCAGTAGATGGTATGATCTCTGAGGGGTTTACTACGAAGCAAAAGTTACTGAGATATATTGAGCATGAAGGTGGCACTGTTAACCTGCATAGATCAACATAGTAACCTATGCTGCATAGCTTACCTACTCTGGAGGAGGTTCCGGATGTTTAAAATTTGTGATTTAAATGGGTTGTAAGAAGTGCCACTATTTCAGTAATTCTTTTCCCAGTGCTTTTCTCTGTGAGTGACACAGCTGAGGAAATACATTATACCTACAAACCTGTTGCGCTGTACGTTAGTAATTCCACCAGAGCTGTGCAGTTACAGTAGGCAAACTGTATGTATGGCATTGCTATAGGAACCTACACACATTCAGTTGGTGATGCAGAAAATACATACATAAATTTATATGCTTGGTCCTGCTGCCGTTACCTTTTCACACTGCTGATTTTGCAGCTAGTGGAGCACAGATTAAAAAAAAAAAAACAAGTATATTGTTATGGTCCATAGAGAATATTTAACCAATGAAATTAATGTCACTTTGATTTGGACAAAAACTAAAGTGATTTCCACGTATCCTTTATTACTGGACAGAGTCCGATCAAATTGCACTTGCTGAGTATCATGTTTAAATGTATAGAGTTTAAACAAGCTCTAATGTGCAGCTCTGTTGTTGTAAATAAGTGGTTGTATTGTGAGTGTACTATGTGGTAAAATAAACATAAATTACATGATTAACAATTTTCTAGCAGCGTTCCTATCGCGTCATTTGCAGTAACAGTGTTGCTTTTTTACTGTAATAATTTTTAATTTTTAAAATTAATTTCATAGTGCTCTATTATACCAACCAGTTCCTGAAATATGCAGCGTGCCATAGATCCATTTGTGTGTGAGAAGGATCACATGACATGTTAAATGCTGCCTTTTTATATGAATGTGCACAAAGCCTAATGAAGACACCTGAATTAACAAAGAATGCTTTCTTTCTGTAATTACAAAAACCACCATATTTTTATTTCCAGGGCTAAAGCTGATGATAAGACAGAACGCCACTTAAATCCCTTGAAGGTCCTCCACCAAGTGGATGAGCTCATGGCTGAGGACAGCATCATTGTTGCAGATGGGGGAGATTTTGTAGGAAGTGCTGCTTACATAATGAGACCAAGAGGACCTATGCGTTGGCTGGATCCAGGTAAGATCCCAAAGGGCAAACAACAACAACAAATTACTTACAGATGAATAATCTCAAATCAGTTTATTTGTTCATTTCATTCGTTTATTGATTTGTTGCTTTTTTGTTGTCACTTAGAGGTTAGAGGAATACACAGCACACTAAACTGTTGTAGTCAGTCAAGTAACTGATGTAGAATGTATGCACAAGTTTGCACTGCAGAACCACAAGTCACGTTACATCTCCATCATAGCAATGTATTCTGATGTCAATCAGGCTTTCTTTACAGTCAGAGTCTCATAATCTTACTGTGGCTTGTTGTAGGAGCATTTGGTACTCTTGGAGTGGGAGGAGGTTTTGCCCTCGGAGCAAAACTGTGCCGGCCTGAATCTGAGGTGTAATATTCATTCAAGCATTTGCATACATGCTTTGTTGAATCACCTCTTTATCACTTTTAACCTTCTAACAATGACATTATATTTTTGTGCTTTTCAGGTGTGGATAGTCTATGGTGATGGCTCCTTAGGATACAGTGTTGCAGAGATTGACACGTTCACAAGACACAAGGTGAAATCACTGATCCCTAAATTCACATTACATAGATGTAAGCAACTCATTTATCCAAAAAAGTTCAATATATTGAATAATATTATTAGGAAGAATTACTTCCTGTTTTTTCACAACTCTCCCCTTACTAATAACAATAATCTTGTTGTAAATTGTCCCTTCTTCGCAACCGGAAAGCAAGGTAAACAATAGTCTATCAAGCATAGTCCGGACATGCTAACACAGTCTAGAGAAGAGGTCTAATTATTCAAAATAGGTGAAACTGTGTATTAACAGTGTGTAGGGCTTTTAAAACTCACAAATCGTATAGTGCGCATCCTATATAATAGAAAGGTGGCAATGTTATATACAGTATGAGTGTATAGTGTATGTTTATTGTGTGATCACTACCATGTAAGTTGTCTACACTATAAATGTAATGTCATTATGATGTGCTGTCATGTTTCCTATAGACTCTATAGGAAACACAACATTACATCATAATAACTTTATTGCTAGACTAGAGGATCTGCAGGTTGAGTGCTAAATTGACTCTGCAAATATTGTAGGAAACCCTGAAAAAAACATACATATCAATATGTGTATTTTTTTGTATATATTTTTTATTTGTTGTGATGAACCATGTTTTCCTTTATTTCCCCCCTCTAGACACCAGTCATAGCTGTGGTGGGAAATGATGCATGTTGGAGTCAGATATCCAGAGAGCAGGTTCCCATCCTTGGCAGCAACGTGGCATGTGGCCTTGCATTTACAGGTACATTTTATGCTAAGAATGTGTGTGTTCATGCTGTGATTGCTTGTAGAATACACATAGATTATATTCAATAATCTGAATCGAATTATTTTACACTAATGTGTAATGCCTGGGCAGTTGCTAAATGTCAAATTGTATTCTTTTGCAGATTATCACATCGTGGCTGATGGTTACGGTGGTAAGGGCTACCTTGTTGGGCGTGAAGATGAGGACAGGCTAAGTGACATCATCAGACAGGCTCAGAAGGAGACCCAGGAAGGCAAGGCTACACTTCTCAATGTTCTGATTGGGAAGACCAACTTTAGAGAGGGCTCTATTTCTGTATAGAGCAGCTGTGCACTATACTGGCTGGGAATTCTTTTTCCTTTAACTTTAGCTTCATAGACTTTTACTATCAGGTTCTATGAAGTATTTTAGCAAATAAGAGAATTCAGTTTAGTCCAACCCTTACCAGACCTCTGCTAATCCTGTGTGCCCTTAAAGCCATATATCACTTTGATAAGAGAAATCACTTTCCAATATGCTGATCTCCCATTACAGTTTATTTACCATTAGTTGCAATATCACTTATTTCCTTCATCAGACTAGCTAAAATTAGTACACTAATACATCTTCAAACATCAGTCATGACTGTTGTCATTCACTTAGTATTTATTTTAGCTGTTTACTATTATGTTTTACTTAGACTTAAAACAGCTCCAGACCTGCCAGCCTTTAAACTAAAGCTTCTGTTGTGCACCCGGATGCTTTAAGGTTCATTTTGTGCTATTTCCAAGAATAGCTGCTGCATTTTAAAAGGGAAAGAGTGAATAATAGCAAACATGTGCTTTGTTTAGGGATTTAAAGTTGTTAGGAGGTTGTGCGTTAGATGTTTGACCTTTACACAGCCTAATGCAACTTTTGCAAATAAACCAGTGACTGAAATCACTGGTGAGAGAGAGGGAGAGAGAGAGAGAATTGGTTTAAAGTTATCATATGTGACCAGTATGCCTTTTCTCTTGTTCTGACATGGACACAGAGTGTTTTTGTGAAGATACAGGAAATCCTACAGCTGTAATGATCTTTATTATTTGATGATTTGGGATGCAAATTTGTTCAACAGGAAATATTTTTTGAATGCTGATGACTGAGGAATGGTATGCCTTTTAATGCTTGATTGTATCTTCAATTACATTGATATGTATAGATTTAAAAATTTGTCTGATGATTCAGTTATGTATTTAAATGACATTTAATACTAACTTGTATGCAGTGATATGGGCTATCATATAAAAATATGCCTGTACACAATATGGATTGCACTATAATTATAACTTACTTACTCACCAGATGTTGGTCATCTCACAGTCTTTATTACTGTTTTGTTTGGTACTTTAAGGGAGGTATGTCAGCTTTTCATCATAAATTGTTCATTTGGATTGATTTCCAAATAAATTTTAAAAAGAAAGTAAGAAAAATGAGCAGGCTTTTGAATCTGTTGTAGGCATTTGTTTGATTTTACAGATTATGAGCTACTTAATGTATCTTTTGTTGTAATAGCTCAGCAATTTCACCCATCTAAAGCTGCAACTGTAACTTCTTTTACTTTCTGTCTTCGTTAGCTTACAGTTACAGTAGTAATCGGGAAATGTTTATATCTTGTGTTAAAACTGCCAGATGTTTGACTTTTGGTTTAAATTTACAAAAACAGCATTTATCAGCTTTCTGCTTTTAGCGTGCAGACATACAGACTGGTGATGAAGGACATAACCAGGTATTGCCTCATCATATGCCCCCAGACCACTCCTCAGTATTGATTCTACCCATACTGTGCATTTGTTCTACAAGTCTCTGGAACTCTTTTGGATAGATGAACACCGTTCTTCCAAAAAATATTCCCCTGATTTGTGTTTTCATGATGGTGGTGGAAAGCACTGTTTAACACGTCTCCAAAGTCTCCCACAGGTGTTCAGTTGGGTTAAGATCTGGTGACAGTCAAGGCCATAGCATATGATTCATATCATGTTCATTCATTTTAAACCACTCCATAAAGATACAAAAGTTTCACCATTAGAAAAAGGTGATCTTTCTGAACTACTTGCATTGATTTGCCCTGATCCTTCCCTTTAAGGCAACAAACAGACCCAAACCATGCACAATGCCTTCTACAGCATACCAATGCCACCAGATGCCCTCACTGTAGGGGTCATTGTTAAGATTTTTTCTGTAGACTTAAACTATAGACTATATGTGAAAAGGTGTTTAGATTTCTGATAGACCCCCAGGCTATTCAAAAAATAGTATTAGATCTGTGTTTAATATCACTAACACTCTTGAATGGCAGCATCATATAGCACTATTTGGTTGCAGCAATGAGTTGTAGTACCTGGTTATGATCTAACTGTGTAGTCGAGATACACCAGCGAGACCACTAGCAGAGTGCTTTTAAATGATTTTGTCTCAAGCCTATAAATCTCTCAGATAAAATACAGCTCCACATCACATATCAATGAATACTTGACGTAAGAGTGTTACCATGTTTGTATGCAACAATTTTTCTTCCAATTGACCGAACACACAACCAGATTTGTATTATGCAAAACACCATCTCTATATCATGAGCACTATGATTTTTGCCCTGAATACTTCTTCATGCAGTTTTCATTTAAAACAGGAGATGGCAGTCCAGGTGTAGTTTATGAAGTCTCTGCTGACGTGTTCCTGCTTAGCATAAATGATGGGGAAATACTGTGGATGTAGAGGGGATGGACATGTGTACAGTTGTTGGTGTATCAATATCAACCAGCCTAAAATAAACAGATTTTTTTTTTCATTCCAAATCAAAATTTGCTTTGTTCTCTATTATGAAAGCTGTTATTTTTACTTAAAGAAGTTAAAATGACCATGTAATAAGCCTTGCTGAAAGTTCAGATTGTTTTTGTATTAAATATTGTTTAATCACGTGACCCTTAAAACAACCATGGGTTTATTGATTTCTGAATGATTCGACATATCTGATTTCGCAGAAATATGTCAATAAGGCAAGTAGAAAGTGAGAAATGACGTGCCAGTGCTTCTAAAAAGCTGTTATCTGTGCATTGACTTCTGTGATAATTGAGTGCAAGTATCCGAGATGAAGTAAACAGTTTATACAGTCTCATGTTGTGCTGGCTGTAGTCTGCAGTCTGGTCTCCTGCCCAGTTTTACATAACAGAACGAGTCTGGCTTTCGTTGCGTTCAAATGCTCTATGTAAATCTCAACGTCATAGCTGTGAAGCTGTAAAGAAGTTCTTCTCTGTTTAGTCGTAAAAAAGAACAAACAAACAAAAAAACAAAGTGGCATTTAGTTTGCGCTGTGATGCTGTGGATGAATGAAGACTATAGACACATTAATATCTTTACATAATAACACAATATACGTTATTTAAAAACAACACATTAGGTTCACTGTGAAAATATCAGGGGTGAACGGTCCTGAGACAAGTTCGAGATTGTCCTACATATAAAGAATGCTAATAATTTATCTGATATATATGTTAAAGGCATCTTTTTCTCTTCGGTTTCAATAAACTACAATGCAAGATATAGTGAGTCTGTTTTGCAGGCTGCAAAAAAAAAAGTGCCATTCCGAAGAAGTAGCTATTCGAGCAGCACTTGAAGGTGTCATAAGACCCGGCGAACATCACCGCAGGCGGCGACTTCAACCGCTCCGCTAAACTTATATATACACGGGCGATGTGGTGGACGGCGGCGACGGTCGACAACGTTGCTGGTGTATAACGGTACATATTGTTTAACGACGGATATACGCCGCTTTAATTACTCTGCCGTCAGCATGATATGTAGAACACATGCTATTCCTAGCTTTTGACAACCCTGGAGATAGCAGCTTAGCTTAAAGCACAAACAAACTAGGTTGAGCGAAGTGCTAGCTAATGTTAGTTAGCGTTAGTTGAGCTTCGTGTGGTGTTCTTTGTCTGCTGGTTCACTACCGGATAACTGTCCAGACACTGACGTGAAGTTATCAGGTTAGCATCACCACACTCGAAAAGCTTAAAGCTCCGGACTCAAGCTACTCAGCGTGGCTTAAATTAACACAGGGCCGACTTTTACTTCAAATTTACAGGATTTCCACTTCAGCAGTTCTAATCACTGGACGTAACCTCACCTGTACCAAGGTAAGTAACCTAATTGTAATGTTAGCCTAGGAAATGACATTGTAACACGTTATGTATTGTCTATTGTGAGCACCTGGACTGGGTTAGAGATGATATTGCTAACTAAGTGTTATAAATGGGTTGCTGTTTGACCGGTTGAGCGTCGACTTAATTTGCAAACCATAGTTAACAAAAACTAGCTTGCTTCATCTGGTCTCAGTTTCCTGGTATAGTAGCATTACTGTAGCATGTGTCATCATGTAAAGTGTGTTGCCAGGAGGAAATATATAAATTATTTCCTCGTTTGCAGAGTAAGAACAGTGCGATACAGGGCAAGAGGAAGTTTATGAACATTTGTTTGACACTGCTAGAGACACACCGGTATTATCTATATGATGAAGATATAATCAGGTTGTCAAGAACCATCACAAGTGACTCACTGTCAACAAACCAATACAAGTGATTGCCTTTAATGTCCAGAACGTTTATATTGTGGTGTTTGCCAAACCAGTCATCATTTAATATACTCTACTAACATGCTGTTGATCATGTTTCTGTTACAGGAGCTGAATGGCCTCCGTTGTAGCAGTGAAAACTGAGAAGCGACCTGCAGCTGATTCTCAGGATGCAGACTCAAATGCCAAAAAGCCCAGGTAAACTCATTGGTGCTATGAAACCAGTTGTACTCTATGCCTAAAACAAGGGTTTTTAGTAGGGCTGATTTAAATCTTGTTTTCTTCAGCTCCTATTTTGTTTTACCAGTCCTAAATGAATAATAATAAATAAAGGTAGGTTTTAGTTTCATACTGCATGCTGGCATGCTTTAAAGTGGTTTGTTTGACCTTCATACTGTCAGAAGGGTTTGGGAAGCACCATCCTTAGACCCGTCATTACTCAATCTCTGTCTGCTCCAAAGGAAACTGCTGCCCAGCCTGAAGACTAAGCGGGCCCCTGAGCTTGTCCTGGTGATTGGTACGGGGGTAAGCTCTGCCGTGGCCCCTCAGGTCCCAGCACTTCGCTCCTGGAAAGGCCTTATTCAGGCCTTGCTTGATGCAGCCAATGACTTTGACCTACTAGAGGAGGAAGAGAGTCGGCGTTTCCAGAAGCACATGCAGGAAGATAAGAATTTGGTACATGTGGCCCATGACCTCATTCAGAAACTTTCCCCGGTAAGACTGCCTAAGCCTTTTTTCCTTTCCTTTCTTTTCTACACCACCCTGTTGCACATGTATAAACCCGTGTTCGACATACATCCAGCTGGGGACAGACTTCACCTTCCATGGGTTGACATAAGACATCTTGGCCTTATCTCATTAAAAGTCCTATAGATTATGACATAAGACTTGTTTGTGGGGCTAGGTTTCAGAATAAATTTTGGTTAGTACAGAATAACACTTTTAATCAGTCAATGTGGCACTAATTACGCATGCAGTAAACAGACTATGTTTTCATTTGTCACACTCAGGATTCAGGACATCCTAAAAGCAAATGCTGACAAAAGCATGCAAGTTAAACTGCATTAGTTTTATTTATTTTTTATTTTCATTTTTTTTTAACCCTCCCTTGCCTTCTTTGATGAAGCTTAACAACATCTTGACAGCATATATGCGATGTAGTTGCTTGGGCAGTCTGGCCTCTGATGATTTAGATTAAACTGCGTATGTACAGTGCAGCCTAGATTGGCAAGAACTTCCAAAAGCTGTGTTTAATGATGTAGTGCCAATTTGAAGTGCTTTTCCTATTTAGTTTGATATTTTTCTTTGATCCTGTTATTTAATTACTTGTTAACACTTATTTGTCAAATTGCAGAAATGAAAATACAAGTGAGTCCATGTTTGAGTTTGCTGAATGAATACAAGAGACAAAATCATTCTTCATTTCTACTGAAAGTGGTGTAAACAGTAACCTTTGTTACACCATGTGATAACATAGATCGTGAGAAGTAGGCTCCCGTTAACAGTGTAAACAAGAGGGATATACAGAAGTCGGAATCAAGAAAATCTTGCAGGTGATGATGAGTAAGAGAAAATCCTTGTTCTTAAAAATTCATATTAAATGAGTCATATCCTATAGTAAGTTCCTTTTTGGACTGGAGGTCCATCTCCAGTAATTGATAAGGCCCCTAAAAACCATTCTCTGTGTATTTAAGTTACATATTCAGATTTTTTTTTCCCATAATGATAAAAATAATATTTCTTTCTTGTCTTCAAATGGCTTACACCGTTTCTTCGTCTACAATTTGCAGATCTAAGTTTCTGCCTCTGTCATCTTACCCCTCCATTGCTTACTGCTCAAGCACTGTAAAACTACTTTACCCTTCATAGTGGCAAGTTGTAATATTATAGTAATTCAGCCATACATGTTCGAACCAGAAACTGATTCTGAAGAAGAGAAATGATACAGAAAAATCCATCTTACAAGGTGAAAGGATTGTTTGCTAAGGTTTATTATGTATAATAACCCAGTTGTCTGAATCTGTGTTTTTGACACTGTTATTGATGCAGTGTAGTTTCAAGTTGGAAACGCTCAGCCATGGTGTTGACTTTCTGTTTTTCTAATGATGTGTCTTCTAGCATATAAAAAAACACCATATGGGCATATTTACAAGGTAAAAAGGTTGATTGTCACAGGAGGGGGTCTTTAAAGATAATGACAGCCAGAGACAGGATTCTTAGTTATAATTGCAGTTCTAAAGGATAATATCATTGTTAATAACACCTGAAAACATGACAAACCAATCAAGGGCACCCAAACTGCCAGAAAATCCCACAAAACCACACAGTCATAGCAAGATAATTTCCCACAGCATTGCCATCCCTTATAAGTTTTTATAGGCTCGGTAAGACAATAGAGGCCACATTTCTTAAATTGTTCCTTCAAAATGAATAGCAAATTGTAGGTTAGAAAACCATGATTTCCCTTTCCTACTGAACTCTGCATCTTTAAATACCAGTTGGATTGTTATTAATGAATTTAGAAAAATTAAGTGCATAGAAAATTTTTTTTGGGATCTGCATATGACTTAGTTCTCTTAGTATTGAACCAGTCTGGTCTGGCGCGGGGTTGGCAGATGGGAGTCTTAATACCGTTTGCCTCCTGTGTTAGTCATGTCTCATCGCACCTTTGACATTGATAAAACACGCTTTGTTTCAGCCCTCAGCCTGTTGTAACAAAGGGAACAAACAGCGCTTTTATGGCTTTATCCAACGTGTTTATTTCAATCCACAGTCGTGCAGACACCAGCCTACCCCTATTGGCTAGACACAGCAGGGTCTAGCATGCTGAGGAAAAAAAACAAGCATAGAATAATGTGAACCAGCAGCCCCCCAGCCCAGATTTTACATTTAGACAGAGTTAAAGTACTACCCAAGCATACAGTAAGTTATAGAGAATATGAGCATGTGCCGCTCTGTTTACATGCCCATATGCAAATATTTTCCTTTGTGGTACTCAGTTAAGCACACGTTAGCTCTAGAGTTGATATGGTTGTTTTACTGTCCTTTGATTCAAGAAAAGGAATGTGTTCAAGTGTGAATCATAATGTTCTCCAAATACGTGGAACCAAATTGAGACCTGAGAAACCTGTCTTCTGTTCAGTTAATTCCAACAACAGTGTGCTGAGAGAGTTTAACCCACTTTCGTGGATTTGTTTATCTGCTAGGTCACTGTGGTCTATAATGAGGTAGAGTAGAACTAATGAGGGCAGTCTGAAGTTAAAACTCAAAGAAATTGCTTTAGCCATAAATCCTGTCACACCTTTAACTTTGGCAACAACAAGGCTAATTACAAGTTTGCTGACTATTTTGTTTGCACAATTCACTTAAGGCATATAAACAGTTTTTTTTTTTCACAGGATAGGTGGAGGAAACATTCAATTATCATTTTGGTCACAATGGAGCATTTAATCTACAGTTCGAATCTTAATGCATACTTAGAACAGACCATGTAATTTGCTGTAATTTGCTCTAATCGGCCCTCTATTATGCTCTCATGATGATGCTACTGCAAAACCTGCTACTCCAATTCAAGTTTCTATGGGAAAAGTTCAAGCAGGCTGCTATTTTCTAAAACAAAACAAACAAACAAACAAACAATATATATATATGTAAGTTTAGGATGGATATTTAGAACCACAGTTGTTTACTTGTGCCTCATTTATTACATAAGTCCTGCAACAGTCCAAGGACACAGTGATCAGGAATGGTGCTGTAGACGTCAGATGAGGATAATAAGCTTCTTCCTGTGGAAAGGACTCCCGCTGTTTAGCCCATTAGAGTTGTAATCTATGGAAGTCAGCGGAGCATTTCCTTGTGCTAGGATCACCTTGGTCACTGCATCATCTATTCTTAGATCCTAGACTCCTCCTGCTTCATTTTTTTTCCTTTCTTCTTCTTCTTCTTCTTTTTAAAACAGCCCTACCAGGTAAGAATGAGATTTAGACTGTGTAGTCACAGCTCATAATCTCTCAGCACACTGAGGTAGTATGCGTGTTGCTTCTTGAAGAGCTTGGGACAGGATCAGACGCAGGAATGGAGGGTTTGGTACAATAGTGAGTAAAGCTTTCCTTGAGTAGATGTTTTGAAAACCGGCACACACTACTCCACCTAAGATAGAAGCTGAAATGGAATTTCTGTGAAGAGGAATACCAAGGCATGTCTTGTTGAAAGCATGTAAAACAAAATAAATAGAAGCATGCTTAAAGCTTTTTTTTTGTCATTCAAAGCCCTGAAGTATATGACTGTGAGCCATTTATACTCAAGTTTGGGTCTATGGTGTTGATTTAGGGATCATAACTGGGCATCTTTCTGTCTGCTTTATCTACAAATAGAACCCTAAATGAGAAATATAACCATTATTGCTCTTGTATTGTCATATAAGATAAAAACAGGACCTAATTTTATGTCTGTTTCTTAGAAGAAGCTTCACGCCATGATCTAATTTCAGAGTAAAGAAACATTAACACTCAGCTGTTACTCAACCCAGGCTCAAATGCACACACTTATTTTAAGCAACTGGCTGCTTGTTGTGGGTTTGTGGAAGTGTATATCACATCACAGCTGCAGTCATTTGATCGGTAATCTGCTGATATTTTAGATTTTTCACAGTAAAATACTTTCCAACAGCTAATACAGTAATTACAGCTAATACAGTACTTGTTCAGGCAGGTCAAAAATGCCATTTTCAGTGAAAGTAGGGCAGCTCAGGGGTAAATTTACAGTGAAGACTGACTATCTCAACATTTAACACATGTGTCTTGAGGGTGTTTAGTACTCATGAAGCATTACTTTCATATCACAAAGTGCTGTGTAATTCAGTTATTCATCAAGGTTCTATGATAATATCACCATGACCTGTTCTTGCAAATTGACAGTTCAGACCTAAAAAGCAGTTTTACGAGTATGCCAACTGATTATTTTCCTGCAAGTGCACTTCCTAATTGCAGTTCTTCTACTAATCATGACCTTTCTTTGTTTTTCTTTTTTGTTTGTTTTGTTTTGTTTTTTATAACAGAGAACAGGCAATGTGCGATCCACATTCTTCAAAGACTGTCTATATGAAGTGTTTGATGATTTGGAGTGCAAGATGGAGCATGCAGGGAAACACTTGCTGCGGTCAGTGCTGCAGTTAATGGAAAGTGGCGCACTGGTCCTCACTACTAACTTCGACAACCTGTTGGAGATCTATGCAGCACATCAGGGCACCAAGCTGGAGTCTTTGGACCTGACAGATGAGAAGAAGGTAAACAGTGCTTGGAATGTGTTATGCGATTGATTGGTCTTGCTTGCCACAATATATGTTGTCAGCTTTTCATCAAACAAGTGCAAAGGTCAGTACAGCAGGCTCAAACTGTAGTTTAAAATCCTGACCAATTTTTTAGTTATCTTATCTCAAATTGACAACTCACTTAAACATGGCCCTCAGGTCTTTGAAGGAGGAAAGTCGCAGGTAAATTTCCCTAATTAATATGTTCTCCTCTGAGCATATGGTTATGCTCACTCGCGTCACTGTCAGAATTAAATTTATGGCATTGCTTTTCACCCAAGTTCCTCATTAACTGGTTCAGGAGAAAAACAGAAACCTGAAACCTGAAAGAGCCTTTTTCTCTGACAGGTGGAAGGAAGTTAACATTCCAGCCATTACTCAGCTGGTGTCAAATTTTATAAATTGAACAATATTTGCTTTTGGTTTAAGACTGGACCTAAGAGGAAGGATGTGTTTTCCTAGTGCATGTACTGTAGGTTTGTTTCAGTGGTGAACTGGTTCCTCATGAAATCTCTGCTGTGGACATTTAAGTCCTAGGTTGTTTAAAGTTAGCTTGATGATTTGTACAACAGAACACAAGTTCGCAAGAATTGATCAGAGTTTTCTGAGAGACCCATTGCTTTGCCTCTCAGTCCTGGTATTTATGCCTCATCTCCATCAGGGCTAATATCCTTTCACTGCTGTTCAGTGATTTTACCCCTTTCCCAGCCAGAACAGGATTTTGTGCAATGGACTGTTAAGTGTGTGTGTGTGTGTGTGTGTGTGTGTGTGTGTGTGTGTGTGTCTAGGTGTTGGAGTGGGCTCAGGAGAAACGGAGGTTGAGTGTTCTACATATCCACGGTGTTTACACTAACCCCAGTGGTATCGTACTGCACCCTGCTGGCTATCAGAACGTACTAAGGAACACTGAGGTTATGGTGAGTGCTAACTTTTATTATGGATTTATCATTGTTCTACTTGATGTGTAAGTTTGTAAAGTATCTAGTACATTGGAATATGACGTTGAGGTAAGGTTATTAGAAAAAACTGCCACATTGACTGTGGTCCTGCACTGGTTCATTTAAAATCATAGCTGTTGTGCAAGTGTAATAATTCATATTACCGGTGATTTCAACAGCGTGAGATCCAGAAGCTCTACGAAACCAAATCATTTGTGTTTCTCGGCTGTGGGCGCACTGTAGACGACACAACCTTCCAGGCTTTGTTTTTGGAAGCAGTAAAACACAAATCGGACCTGGAACACTTCATGCTTGTGCGGCGGGAGGATGTGGGTGAGTTCAAGAAGCTGCGTGACAACATGCTTGACAAGGGCATCAAGGTCATCTCCTATGGAGATGAGTATGCCGACCTACCTGAGTACTTTGAGAGGCTGGCCAATGAGATCTGCAACCGTGATGTGTCTACAAATGGCTGGGGTAAGGAGAAGCAGTTTTGCCTAAGCTTCTTGTGGTTATTTACATTTGTAGTAGGGTTAATTTGTATTAATGGCAGCATTATATAGCTGGTAAAATCAGCTGTATGTCATCTATAAAGCAGCCTGGCAACATTTGAAAAGATTTAAAATTTTAAAAAACAACAAAACAAGAAGGACTGGGCATTTCAAAGGCAGGGGAGGTGCAGTTGTATTGTAGAATTCTGTGTTTTTGAAATTTGTCCAATACTAGGAACTAAAAGTCAGGATATCGCTTCTGTTTCAGTTGTGACCATTCTATACTTAATCATCCTCTTGTGAGTCCAGCTCAAAGGAAGTGCATACAACTTTGCAAGAGTGATACTTTAAAGGCTTGACACTAGGGTGTTTCAAAATCTAATTTGATGTTAATTACCAAAACATATAATATTAGTACTGGTATTAGGGTTGTGCAGAATATACATATATATATATATTAGTAATGCTCTTTGTTTTTTAAATAAACCGTTTTTTTGTTGTTTTTTTTACAAACACATAGTATTTGACTTGTCAGCTTGTTCTAGAAAGGGAGCCAAGAAAAGTAGGACATGTTTCTGTGCATACCTTTATAACATGGGTTGAACCAGATTCGAAGCATTAGAAGCTTGGAAACAGGGACTTAAACCAAGTTAAGCTTCCTTGTTGCATGTTTGATTCAGAGCTTAAACTGTCAGTTGTCCTGGTTTCACAAAATATGTCTTCTGTCAGTGTGGGGTTTTCTTACATTTGAGTCGAATAGATCTGCTAAACTTTCTAGATTGTTCTTCTTAATGGAGGTGCTTGTGTTTTATAATTTTCTGTTTTTATCTTAATCCACAGGGTCTCCCTCACAAAATGGGGAGGAACAGCAGAATGGCTTTAACACACAGAAAAGTCTCCTTCAAGGTTAGGACTGAATGCTTCTTTGACTTCAAGCAGTGGCCACTTGCAAAAGACATTTTCAGAATAACATAACAAAACTCTGTCCAAGGCTCTTGTTTTCTTACTGCATGCTGGTAGATAGAAAATTCAAGCCCGTTCTTGATTTTCAGTGACAAAAGACCTGCTGGTATTTCTTTACACAAAGATCCTACTGACTTTGCAGTAATAATATTGTCAGTGGCAACGTTTCAGTTGATGCTTTTTGTTTTTCAACTTTTCACTTAAGTCCTTCCTTTTCTTTTTGCCCCAGACTATCATTCTTGACAGGCACACAGTCGGGATCAGTTTCAGTCATTTTCCTCCACAGCTCGGCTGAGTGACCGGTCGACTCTGAGTAGTATTCAAGTCTGAGTTTATTGAATGGATTTAGGAATCCATGGAAGACCTAAAAGCTGTCAGTATTTATCAGATGACCGTTTTTTTTTTTTTTTTTCTTTAATTTTCATTTATTTAGCTTTTATTTAAAAGGGAAAGAAGTTCCCCAACCTCATAGTCTCCATAATCCTCTATTTAAATGTTGCTGAAACCTCAATGTTTGGGAAGCTTAATACAAGCTTTGAAGTATGCAGATCATGGAATGGTACGTTCTCACTTCAGCTTGACCAAAAAGATAGATGTGAATCCACTGACAGAAGCTGACAGTGCTGTTTGGATTTGAACAGATCGAACATAAACGCAGCTGAACTGCAACACCTAGATCTACCTGCCCTGAAAAAAAGACGTTGTAGATGCAAAGCTATGACGCACATCACATGCTCTTAACTGAAAACTGTCTTGTGTTGAAGGCTTGAATCAGTCATGCTCAACCCTGCAACCAGGAAAACTTGTTTTGCACACTACTGGGTGGGGAAAAGGATGGGTGGAAATAATTCTCTTAAATGATAGGTGGCAAATTGATTATTGTTATGATTCTGTCTTAATGTGGAAGTTCAGAAGAGTTATGTTTTCATAGCAGAGCAATTCCCTGCCAGTAGCAATCTCTTTGCCACTCCTGTGCTGAAAATAAAACTATGTTCTTTGTAAGCCTTTTTTTGTATTTTTAATACTTGCATGTGTTTTCTGATATAGTATTTATAAGTACTATTTTCAAAATAAAGCTTTTGGTATCCCATTTGTTCTGTTTTCATGTATGCATGCCAGATCACGATCGAAAGGGTGCAGTCTGTGATGTGGATCGAGCCCATGTGCCTCTGCAACATATGACAGAACAAGTTCCATGTTACCGGCTGTCACAGCATATAGCAGCTTTATTTAGAAACGTTTACATTCTCATAAATTAGCTCAAATCTTCAGTATAACTCTTGATTCTCTCATATTGCACTACCACAATTTAGAGGGGGTAGAGTTATTTAAGACTTATATTTCCTCTTGTAAATGAAGAATAAATCAGAGGGGAAAAAATAAATTAAAGGGCCATAGAACTTCAATTGAAACATACAAAATGTAGCCTGAAATCAATGGGCACTCTGTTGGAACTAAAAAACTAATTTACAAAATATCCTTCTACTATTCATGAGCTATAAACTGAAGGATCCAAGGCTCCATTTTGTATTGAAAATGTGCTAACTGTTAGGTATGTGAGCAGCTGTGGGAGATTAATTTCATAGAAAAATCCAACTGAAACTAGTGATCGACAGTTAGTGGATAGGTAGGTAGTTAGGAGATACTGATGCACTGGCCGTTTTTGTTTACTAAGGATCTGCCTCAATTGAGCCCAGACTTTTACTTGATCATTACTTTTTTGACAGGAGAACATGGACTACCCTGTTAAGTGCTCTGTGCTCAGCTGCACACCGTTTTCTCAGCTAGACTAGAAGATATGGTTTCTGATCTGAACTGGCATGGTATTCCTGGTAGGTAACCCTCCATATAGTGAAAGTAGAAACTAAGAACACAGGAGACAGATAGGCACTATGGTCAATTAGCTTTCCTCAGGCACAGGCAGCTGTTGAAATGTCACATCCAGCAAGCCTTCACAGCCTGACCTCATTTACATAAAGAGGGGAAAACTGACTGACAAAATGCCAGGTAGAATTTTTTGTTCAAGTTTTTACTGTGTTAGCCAGTAAAATGATGACACAGCCTAGGTCCATTTTGTCAGCTAAAATGTCATTTAGATTGGACTTCATGGTTTCAGAACACCAGCTTATCTGAGGTACTTTCTAATTTGGCCCAAATGTTTAGAAATAACGCAAAGGGAGGCTCCTCTGACTTTGTTGCAAAATATTCGGTCTTTTATCGTGCACACTTGTCCTGCACTGGGAGAACAAAGTCCTGTGTGTAACATGAGTTCATTCATTTGATGCAAAGTAGAGAGGGCATGGCAGGAACATGAGAAATGCAGGCTAGCAGGGCTGGAACAACTCATGGCAGCGTGGCAAAGGTGTTGCTGGCTTCCTTGCAACGATGAATAAACAGCAGAACATGCGGCCACTTAAGCCTTCATCAGGGCGCTGACCACGGCGCGGGCATTGAGGCTGCGCAGGTCGTTGTAGGTCTGCCCGGTGCCCACAAACACAATAGGCTGGCCTGTGATGTAAGTCATGGAGATGGCAGCACCCATCTGTGAAGAAGGGACGATGACACGAGTGCTATTAGCTTTCCCACTTAAAATTCAGGATTCAGAAAGTTGTCACAGGCAAATCATTAATTGCATCAAAATGTTTTGTACAGTTGCATAGTTTAGATGGTGAAGTGTATTTTAAAAAAAAAAAACAATAAAAATACCTTGTCATCAATAGTGTCAAACTTGGTGAGTACAATGCCATCAATGAGACGAGGCTTGTCAGACATGGAGTGGTCTGCCAGAGCCTGGTTGAACTTCACCTGAGGACACGAGAAAGCTGAGTCATTCAGGTGACAACTGAGGGGGACAGTGTTAATATGTATAGTGCCATCTTTCAGTCCTGGAGAACGAGGAAAGACATCTACAAACATGATGACTGTTTAAGTCAAAAGTGACCATTGGTGCAACACTGACCTCTGCTGGACATATTAATCCACAGAAATCCATTTTACTCAACTTTTTTTTTTTCTGTTTACAACTGGTGATCTGTAAATAAATCCCCCCTACCATAAGAGTGAAAGTAACGAACATGGATCTAAAGCTGGCATTAAAAAAAAAAAAAAAAACATGTATCCCTGCTTTAATTAGTACCAGGTTCAAACAGCAGATCACATAAATAAATACAGTATGATGTAATGATGCAAATGTTACATTAAAATTCAGCTGTTATTTATTAATTGACAGTTTTTTAAAATAAATGTTCATTCAAGTTATTCGTCATCATTATTTCCTCTATATCAGCTCAGATTCATCTGCAGTCTTACCAGCTGGTCAACTGCCTCATTGCCCACCAGAGCCTCCCCAACAAACAGCACCAGGTCAGGCATGTTGACTGCTATAAGTTTGGCCAAGGCTGTCATTAGGGGGGCATTGTCCTGCATACGCCCAGCAGTGTCCACCAGCACTACATCAAAGGCCTGATTGCGGGCTGGAGGGATCAAACACAGGAGAAGTACCATGTCAGTGATATGAATTACTAATTGAAAGAAGTGTAGAAGAATTACACCTCTTCTTTACAACTAAGATGCAGGACATGTAGGTACAGAACGAAAATATTTTACCATAGGCAATGGCCTCCATAGCAATTCCAGCTGCATCTTTCCCGTAGCCTTTCTCATAGAGTTGGACTACCGGCCGACCTCCATGTTTCTCTGGGGGATGCAGAGAGTTCAGGCGGCGCTGATGAGTTCGGAGCTGCTCCACTGCCCCGGCACGGAATGTGTCACAGGCTGCGATTAGCACAGTGAATCCGTTCTCTATCAGCCAATAGGAGATCTGGATCAAGACAGAGAAGACAGAGAAGGTCAGATGACCATTTCCTGGTATTTGTGCATGCCGGGTTACTGTGACACTGAGCCATTGTTGTTGTTATAACCAACACCTATGTGTACCTTAGCAAGTCAAACTTCCTACTTTGACCCATAATTTTCAGTACTTCAGTGTCTTAACAGTATATCTTAATAGTGACATAATTATTTCAAAAATATGTTTTTGTATGTTTTGTGGGCTGCAAGGTGGCACAGTTGGTTAGCACAGTTGGTTAACACAGTTGGTTAGCACTGTTGGTTAGCACTGTTGGTTAGCACTGTTGCCTCGCAGCAAGAAGGTCACCAGTTCGCGTCCCAGGGTCACAGGGATCTTTCTGCGTGGAGTTTGCATGTTCTCCCTGTGCAGCGTGGGTTCTCTCCGGGTTCTCCAGCTTCCTCCCACAGTCCAAGAACAAGTTAAGGTTAATTGGTGATTCTAAATTGTCCGTAGTTGTGAATGTGAGTGTGCTTGGTTGTCTTTCTCTAAGTGTAGCCCTGTGATAGACTGGCGACCTGTCCAGGGTGTCCCCTGCCTTCACCCTAAGTCCGCTGGGATAGGCTCTGGCCCCCCTGTGACCCTAGTGAGTTTTAAGCAGTGTATAAATAATGGATGGATGGATGTATGTTTTGTCCCCTCTTATTAAAAACTGGAATTTCAGACAACTAGGAAATCAGGAACTCTGTAACTGGGGTTATATAAAGTATTCAACTCTTAAAAAAATATGAAAATAAAAAATTAGGTCAACAGCTGAACTGAGGGATCCATCTAAAGAAAACACTGTATCGGTGCACTGGTTTAGTTATATAGTTTTCATATTAACAAACATCCTCACAGTGCACAGTTCTAACAGAGCTATACATGAGCACAAACTCTCATAAAGCAAGGCCAAACCACCACAATAAAGTTGCTGTCTGTGAGGGTAAACAGCAAAAGGAACTTCAGGGAACTTTCTAACAAACTGTAGATCTAGGGCACATGTTGATACCTTACTAAAATGTCACCTCACCTTTGCCAGGTTGGTGGACTTTCCAACCCCATTGACACCACAAAATGTAATGACAAAAGGCCTTCGCTGGCTCTGCGCCTCCATGACATCTCTCAGAATATCCACCCTTCGCTTGGGTTGCAGGATCTGCACCAGTGAGTCCTGCAGGGCCTGCTTTACTGTTGAGGCCACAGCTGCACACATACACCCACAAAAAAAAAGTTATGTCAGAAAACTGTGAGCATGAAGTATTTCTTACATGTTATTCTATGTGTTGTACTGCTCTTTACTGACACACATTGTCTAATAGTGTCACAATTAATATTGTGCTTGTCATGGCCTACAAAGAGCCATCACAGAGGCATAGAATATTATACAGTTAGACTTAGATTACACTTTATACCTAAATTTTAACATTATAATAAAAGTCCACTCATATGCAAAGGCCCTGCTTGATTTACTATGACAAATGTGCAGCAAGCTACACATGGATAGCCTGAAGGCAAGGTGCACATAGTGCCAGGTTTGTGCTCTTAGTATGAGTTTACTGCTAAATCTAAAGTAACAAATAAGGGGTATAATGTAATGAAAGATCTACAGTGCAACATATGCACATGGTCTTACAACATTTATTCCCCTGTATCTTTAACTTATGAGCATTGCCTCCAAGTGTTTATATACAAATCTAGTCAAGGAAATCTTTTATTGCATCCTGTCTATAGAAAAACTGAGGGGAAGACCCTATTTAAATCTATTCGCTGTGGCAATGAAACAAACAGTGTTGGGGAAAACCCATTACTTTAATCACAGTCCCCTTCAGCATGTAGACTGGTGTTCTCACAGGAAGATAGTCATCTGAGAAAGAGAGTATGGATCGATAGTTTGTTGTGAGCATGTTAAAAAGATGGGAAAGGGTACTTACTGGTAAATGTGCCCATGACTTTGCCCTCCAGTTTTTTGGCTACAGAGTCACAGAGCTGGGAGGCAATGTCGGCTGCTACATTCTTTGCTACAGGTTCATAAAGGAGAAAAATAAATAGCAGATGATAGACATTCACACCTTGCAAAATGAAGACAGTAAGTGAAAGGGCCATGATATCATACCGATGAGGTGGTCCCTCATCTTCTCCAGCACTGGCTCCATGTCCTCTCGGGACAAGCTCTTGGAGCCCACCAGACCCTTCAGCATCCCAAACATTCCCCCAAAACCGCCACCCTTCTTGGAGCTGAGAAAAAAACAAAAAGCTTCACGCTTGTTCACAGTGTAACTTAATTTCATACACATTTTTAAACATTGCACTTTACTTATACTACAAATGAAATACTTCATTACCTTGTCTTACTTGTTTCACTGACAACCACTTCCTCGTCTTCCTCCTCCATCTCCTCTTCCTCACTAGATTCGTAATCCACAGACAAGAGGTCTCCCTTCATGGAGCTTGGCTGCATTCCCTGAAACACATCCAAGACATTGAGTACTTGGCATCAGTGACTAATGCAGATGTCTCTTCACCTAGAAACATCATTAGAGGTGGAGAGAAGGTCGTACATACCAGGTCAATTTGTGCTTCCTGGTTCTGTTCACCACCGTTGGAAGAACCATCTCCATTCCTTTCGCTGTAGTCCAGGTTCTTGGTGCTGCTACCACCCATGTCCCAAACACGCATTTGTTTCTCCCGAGGCTTCTGAGGCTTTGGGGACTTACTGTGACTAGGATGGCAAAACATAATAATAATAATAACAATAATAATATAGCACTTTTCAAGATACTCAGACATTTTACAAACAGGCAAGAAAACAAACAAAAATAATAACACATAAGTAAATAAATAAAACATAATGGAAAAGGAGCATAAAGAGACAGGAGAATTTTGAGTTGTGAGGAGGATTTTCTGATGCTCATGAGGAGTGAAATTTGCAATTGGGTCATTCCATGCAATTTCACTCAGACTTCAGAACTTTTCCCAGTTTATGTCATGTATTTTTGGGGAAACAAATCACGCAAAAACTTCTACCTAAACCTGGAACCTTGCAAAATCCCACAGCTCTACACAAAATACTTTTTGAGTGATGATTTTCTTTTAAAAAAGGCCCTCAACAACTCTTTTAAAGCATCTTTAAACCCTCATCAATTGCTTATTTTTCACATGACTTGGCTAAATTTTAAGTGAATGTCCCAGAAACCTTAATAAGAAGTTGGAACTTGTAACCATGTCAACAGCTTATGCAGATTTTTTTCAGAAATGAAATAATAAAAATATATAATTTATCGTCGAAATGAAAAATCTTTAATGTTCAGAAATTAGTATCTCCACTAACATTCACTTTATTCCATCCAAATTTCTGTTGCGGGTAGAAACAACTTAGTTTCATCATACCAAAATGTAATTTAGTGCTAAATAAATAAATCTTAGATACTGTACATGTGACAATTCAAATGCTTATTTATAGTATTTTTGACAAATAATGAAACACACATATGTAATAAAACTATCGCTCTAAATCAATTTAGTAAAACTGCAAGTAATCTGCATTAACATCATGTCCTGCCTCTCATGTCCTTCAAAGTTAGACTATTTCTGATAGTGATTCACTTAGGAATTAACACAATATCGTTGAAAAGAAACTTTCACAGAACTGATATGGGGTCACCAGTGTGACTGTCTTCAACATACAAACTGCTGTGATCCTATTCTTTTCTCACTGCTTTTGGTATGTCAGCTGAGTACATATGTACAAAGATAAATATATCAGCTGTCTCACCTGGGCTTTTCAGCAGTTCCCACCATGCGTTTGCGGAAAAACTCTTCTCTCTTCTTTTGCATGATCTCATCAGCAGTCAAGCCCTGGTTACCATTTTCAACCATTTTCTGGCCAGGGGGTGAGGCCTTGCTTTGATCCCCCTTGGCAGGCTCAGCTGCAGGAGCTGAAACAGGTTAGAATGTCAATTGATTGAGCCTGAATTTGCAATCATATTACATTAGCCATTTAATATGAGCTATTTAAGAACAACCACAAGAAGAACTCACCCTCCTTTTTGGTATTTTTACTCTTCTTGCCACCCTGTTCCTTGCCTTTGTCTCCACCTTTCGTCTCAATCATCGACTTCACAGTTTTTTGGGATTTTTCAGACTCCTTAAAGGATCGCATTTGGGCAGGACTTCGAACTTTACTGCTTTCCTCCGCATCTCTTGTTTGTTCAAATTTGTTATTGTCAGCATGGACAGAACAAAAACAAATATGGTTAGCAAAGCATCTTTGATTTTGTTTTTTTTTGTTGTTTTTTTTTTTGGGGGGGGCACAAAATAAACTTGTGATTCTCCCAGCTTCATCAGTTGGAGATTTTGTTTGGCACATTAATCATATTACCAACTTCACTGGAAGTGCACAATGTCATCCATCACTGAAGACAGAGAAAAAACAGTAATACTGCAGAAGATTGCTACACAGAAAGTGAAACTTTGTGTCTTTACCTGAGAAGCACCTTGAAGTCATCCTCAAATTCAAAGCTGTTGTTGAGAAGCTTCAAAGCCCCCTTTTGCTCCAGCTCATTCTTATAACGATCCCTAAAATGAAGCTGAACGTCATCTATAAACTTGTCCACATATGTCAGCGTCAGGATCTTTTGAAAACCCACCTGGACACAGACAGGGAGGGTGGAATGAGAGAATGATCACTGACAAGTAAGAATAAATAACAATGAAGACTGGTCGCAAGTGTGCAGTCTGTGCCTGAATTGTGTTTGACGTTAATTTATTCAGTGTGCAGTGGAGAGACTTACCACAAAAATCAACTCAAACTCATTGTCGAGCTTGTATTTAAGACTCAGTTTCTCATGAGTAAATGAATTGTTCCCACTGCGCTCCTGTAAACACAACACAAACATCAATTAGGAAGTGAACACACATGTTACTGCTAAACAAAATAAAATAATGAATACATGATAAGAAAAAGAAAGTGTGGTCACAGGCAATACAGGAAATCATTTGGTTTGTTTGTTGTTTATGTTGGGTTACTTTTATTTCTCAATCAGTGAGGTCAATCTCAAGAACTAATAATATTGTAGAATTTAAGCTTTAACATTTATTACAGTCAGGCAAAGTTCCTTTTTATATATATCTTTGCAGGGTTTTAATCCTCAGTATTCAAAGTACTCAGTTATATTCACATTCTAAATAAGACATCTGGAGTCTTAATCTTAATATTTAAACTTGCCAGGTTAATTCGTAACGTCAAGTTTAGTTTTCTGCTGGAAATACTTTTGGCTAAACAGCCGTTGTGTTTAATGTGCTATAGAAATGCCAATAACTGGACTTCTTAATTGTGTGAAAGAAGTCAGAAGCAGAGACCATATCAAAATTCAGCAAGCAAATCATACCAGCTTGATTAGGTTAAAGCAATTTACATCTCTAAAGTGGCTTGTTTTGTACACCAGCCTTACGCAATACGCTAACGTTTGCTAGCGTTAGCATTAGCTGTCCGAGCCCAAGTGATAGTTTAATAAACAACAGACACAACAGCACCAACAAGCTGAACTGTTTTTGAGGCTCACCTGAAGGATCACGGAGCGGATCAGAGCGTTGACCGGCCCCGTGAAGGATTCGGTGACCCCGGCTCCCTGAAAACACCACAGCACTATCCCCCCTTTGCTGAAGATGGTGAAGAAGTCTAGCATCTTGCTATCTGGATTTTATAAAGCACACACGGAGGGAAAAGGTGAAGCCCAGCGATAAACGAACGTTCCGGTAAACATTCAAAGTGGTATCACTCGCTCTTCAAAATTATTCAGTCTTACCAGACAATACTTAAATTGACGATTAACTCCCCTCCAGTGAAATCCCACCACCACAGCAACACTGTTTCAGACACGTCAGATGCAGGGTCAGGAAGTGACGATGTATTCCGGCGGATTTTTTTTTCTTCAGAAGTCTGAGCATGCGCAGTTTAATGGCCGATATGCAGGTTTTCAGTGAGGCCGCTGTTTCATGCTTCTTCACTCTGTGTGTATTTTAAATAAAATATACAGAACAGCATCTGTTGTGTCATTTAATGTCTTAATATTCCTAAAACGTAAAGATTCAATATGGTAAACATAATTTAGTTGTATGTTTTGTCATGTTATTGAGGTGTAAAGTAAAACCCGTTCATGTTTGCTGCTGATTCTAAAATGTCTCAGAGTGACACAAGTAAAGCACAAACGTTCTGCTGTTGGCAGTAAGTGTGAACACAAGAATGTTCATACACTCCGGGCATCTTCGGAACTGACAACCCAGTTGATTGTTTTATTTTTAATGTCTATGTCATGACAACAATAGAAATATCCTTAGCATTAGTGTGTTGTGTTCCTTCTTATCAATCACACATGTAGAGAGAGTCTTTTTCCTGAAGGGGTAGTCGACAGCGGCAGCTCAACTCTTGATTACTTTTCAATCACTGTGATCTGGCTGTAGTCTTTACCTTGGAAAATTTAACATCTTATTCTGCACTTAGACCCCTCAGAACAGAGAATCAATTACTATTAAAATTTCATGGTACAGAAAAGGGACTGTTTTGGCCCTCACAGAGTCAGCATCTCAGTACAAAAAGCTTTTCAAAACCCACCTGTGAAGACAAGCATTGTACAGCATTATATCCTGTTTCAAGTGTTTTGTTATTGACCTTGTTTCATTTTCTACTTTACTCTTCACGAATGTTTTATTGTTCCTTTTTAATGCTTTTATATTTTAATATTTTTTTAAAGCACCTCGTAACTACAGTTTTGAAAGGCGCTATGGAAATATAGTTTAGAATAATAATAATTATTATTATTATTATTACCTAACTTGATTGTCGCAAAAATGAATGAAAATGTAAAAATGCAAGCAAGAGAAAAGCCCTTTAAGCCATGAGCTGTACTGAGTCCCCGTTGTTTAAAAATATGATAGTAATTTAAATGTCATATGTATTGCCTTCAGAGAGAAGTTGCAAATTCATAAATCACTCTGACATCGATTGCTATCACAGATTTGTAGACTCAAATAGGTAATATGTAATATTTTGTCAATTTGCCCCTTTTCTTTAGTTTTCAATGTGTGAGATCAAAAAAGTTTATTTTTATTTTATACATATTACTTAAAAGCAAAAATCATTTGTTGAATAGAAACTATCAAGAAATTTAGCAGGTTTTGTTTGCGAGACAGAATCTATTCTTCTCACATCTTCTTCATAATCTGTGTGTCATCACAAAAGAACCCCATAAAAACAGGGATTGAGGAACTGGGAAAATGTGATCATAAATTAATACAGTAGGGAAATGACAGAAGCAAGATACATAAAAAATAAAATAAAAATCAGAAAAGCAAATTAAGATCATAATAGGAAAGGGAAGTGCTTACAGTGGGTAAGGGATCATGCTATTTCAGTGACAGTTTCAAAGCTTTAGAATAGCCTTCCTCTTTTAATTAAATGCACTTCCTCCATTAAGACTTTAATGTCAAATCTCCTGAATGTGAGATGCTAAACAAGGCAGTCACAATTTACTGAGTGAATATTTTACATACAGTGTTGTTGTTTTTTTGTTTTTTGTTTTTTGTTTTTAAATAAAATGGACATACTTTATTGTATGCATAAATCATTCCATCCATAAACTGTACATGCAAGATTTTAATTATCCAATTTTATTGCCTTCTAATGAGACCCAAAGTCAGAACAAAAACTCCTTTGGTTATTATGCTCCACATCTTTAAAACAGCATTGAAGACAGGTGTAGTATTGCATATGGTCCCCCTTGAAAATGGACCCTCCCTATAAAATATGGACCCCCCCACAAAAATGTGCATAAAATTTAGGGTTAGGTTTTTGGAAATTTGTCTCGACAACTTCCCCTGCCGTGTCTGACGACAAAGCAGTATGGGGTGGGAAGTTAAAGGAAATGCACTGGCCGTCGCTCTTCAAAGAGGTGTCAGTGTGTCAGGTGTTCAAGGAGGTGACCCTCGAGCTGATGGTGGATAAACGCGTCCGGATGAAGCTGCTGGACGACCTGGCTCACGTGAAGGAAAAAGACTACAGACAGATGTAGGGTTAGGTTTAGGGTTGGGTTTAGGGTTAGGGTATTGGGTTAGGGTTTAGGGTTAGCATTAGGGTTAGGTTAGGGGAAGAAACAATAGACTTCGAGGAAGAATATTGTAAGTGGCACATGTCTGATTTTTATCAGTTTTTCTCTATGAAAAATAAAAAGTGTAAAAGGAACCGTTCAATTAAAATGGATTAAAAAAAAAAGAGAGAGAAACCATTATAGGAAGAATTAAAAAATCTTAAAAAACAATGCTAATTGAATTTTGGTTTTATTTTTGGAGGTGGAGGATCCCAGTGGAAGGCGATGGCAGAAGGTCAGTAGTTTTATATTCATAGATATAGGTAAACTCGGTTTACAAAGACGGTACAGGAGAGTAAAGGAGGTTAAGGCTAGAGTAATGGAGAGGTAGGTGGAGGTAGATTTGGCTCGTGGGCTAGGCCCCGTACAAAAGGAAAGCTCACGAGTTAAAATAAAGAAGCTGGATCTGATAGTTTCAAGGGAACTCCCAGGCCAGCGGCCACGCGACCCTGGAACGGAAACTGGGGAGAGAGGCCAGATAGTCAGCGACTGAGCTTTGGCATGTGAGAGGAGAGGCCCACGGCTCTGTCTAGCACGGGCACCTGTGGGGGTAAGGTGGGATGGATGGGAGGAGGTACGAGGAGAACTAGAGAAGGTCGGGGGAGAGGAGGGGAGAAGATGAGAGAGAGAGAAAGGTAAGAGTTAAGAGAGAGAGAGGAGGGGAGGAG